TGTATGTGTGTGTGTGTGTGTGTGTGTGTGTGTGAAAATCACTAAAATTTCAATGAATATTAAAACAAAACCCAGAATTTCAAAAATATAATAAGTTCAGTACTAAATATTTTAAAAGTCGAATCCGTCAAATTCAAATCTTAAATCTATTTCACTTCTTTCTACATTTTTTTTTTAATCTAGAATGATGGATACGTCAGTATACCACCAGACCACATGATTAGCATTGTACAACAAAATGTTATATTATATTATCTATTTCTTAAGCATTAGTACTTTATTTTATATAAATAGAGTACATTGAACCATATATATGATAACGAATCAATCTAAAGTTCACGCGTTTACATTATTTGTCATACTCTAAATGTTTCATAATTTAACAATAAATAATTTCCTATAATCAATTACAATTAAAATAAAGGAAAATAAGTCTACAAAGATCTTATTTGTTGTATATATCAATCGATCTCTGATTATTACTTTTTATGAACATATATAATATGCCATAAATGAATCTCCAATAAAAAGGACCATATAACTAAACAAAATATTTGTAAGTAATTTAATATATGAAATGTTTCCCTCTTTTTGTTTTTTCTACGAAGAGGAAAGGGCTTAAATTTAAATAAGACTTGGTATATTTCGCCAAACTATCTTTTTAAATATTGTAACATTTATTCTAGTTGTTGCTGCTGCTGCTACTACTAATTATATAATAAGTCAAATTAGTATATCTTAGAGCAACATAATTATTCAAATGATAGTTGAACAATCAAACAATACATTTTTATTTAAAATTAATTCTTATAAAACTGGAAGAAGAAAGACATACAAAATATTATAATCAGAAAAATGTGGTCAAACATTTTAATACATCAATAAAAAAGTGAGACATAAATATATTACTTCCTCCATCCTCATTTATATGGCATACTTTTCTCTTTAGTCTGTCTCATATTTTAAAAATAATTTAATCTAAATTTCTCATTTTATCCCTGATGAAATATTTTATTAACCGCATAAATATTTATGCCTTATTTTATTTCACATATTTTAAAAATATTTTTTTTTAAAATTTCGTGCCTAATCAAACACGACCACAGGGACAGAGTTGGACACAGATAGATAGCATTATTTTTTAGAATTGGCTTTTAGTATGCATTCAACGGACTATCTTCTTGAAAGCACTAGAGAAACACTAATGAGGATGAAGTAGAC